GCCCCCCCCCCCCCCCCTAACGGCTCCTGTTCATTGTCATTTACAAGGGGGGGGGAACGTTTTTGACAGGGATGAAAAATAGACATTTTGAACCCATTTTTTTCTTACTAGCACTCCGATTTAGATCAAAATTGAAACAGGATGTAAATATTTCACCCTTTGTGAACCATTTCATGCTTAAAAATCCGCGGGCACTCGATATGTTTTGCCATGCCAACCAAATGAAAATGTATACCTGAGACAAAATAGTAAATTTTCGCAACTTTTGTTCGCCGCTATCTTTCTTTTGGGCGATGATAACCAAGAACGTTGGATGGTTTCCATAGATTACATTCGAAGTTTAACTTCCTCTCTCTCTTTATATATATAGTGGAAATATTTAGCCGTTAACCCTTTAACCCTTTAGTTCCGACGGTTAGATAATTTCCTTTACGAAATTGCAGGAGTCGTGTGTTGCCCGTCGCCAATTTATAAATCTGGTAACCTGAGATGTGTCAAAGTTTGATTCCATGCTTTCTCGGTTACATCCGACCAAGGGAGTCCCAGGAGACAGACCCAGGGGGATGGCAGCGTACGTCAAATTGTCCGTCCCCACATCCCTTGTCATCAGGCCAAAAAATTACCTTCTCATCGATATCTGCCTTATAATTCCCAACTTTTTATTTTCTCCCTCCTCCCTACATTTTCGCCCCGATTTCTCCCCCCTCCCTTCTTTCTTAGGCCATTTCTCCCTCCTCCCTATTCTGTTCCTCTCTCCTCTAGATAAGCAAGTACTCTGTATAGTTTAGTTCTCGTGTGAGCAAGATTAAAAATTTTTCGCTGGTTTAAGAAGTTTGGAGTATTTGCTGTCCGTAGTCACAGTTAGTGAGATCCTGTGTACCGAGGTGGTGACGAGCCTTGTTCTCGCTGCAAGAGTAGTCGCTCCGATTTATTTTTGTCCCGATGTATCCGGTTTTGTCGTGTTTGTTCCCGCACGTGCTTACAGGCAGAAATCTTTCGCCGCCTTGTCGGAGAACAAAGAACCTCTCGTAATAATTGGTGAAAATTTGACATGATAACGTAGTGAGTGGTTTATCTGAAAACATTATTGACGGATGTGCTAAAATAATCACACCACACCGCACCTATCTTCTTGGTACTTTGTGGCACATAAGGCCTGCACAGAGTGCCTCCACTTATCTCGGTTAGCCGCAACGGTCTGCACTTCCTCTCACGATTGCCATTCTGCTTCTGCCCTTTCCTTTTTAACTGTTCGACTCCAGGTGAGTGGTTTTTTGTCTTCCTCTTCTTCTTTTTCCTTCTGCTACCCCGATCTTCAGGATGTTTTTGCGGTATACCGGTGGCCTACTCTGTTCAGTGGCGTCCTGTTGGCCTTTCCCCATTGTCTCCCCCACCCAGCCCGCCTACCATCCCCTCCCCAGCCCCCCCAACGCGCCCCCAGTCCCCTCCGCGCCTCGAAATCCCTCCTTGTCCTGACGTCACGCGTGTATTCTTCTCTCTACGTATATTCCTTTTATAATGACCAGAAGATACCGA